GATTCATCTCAAAAGAGAACTAAAACATTCGGTAATGTACACAGATAGATAATAAACAGGGTGTAAATAGATAGATCATAGGTAGATGATAGATAAATTAAAATATAATGCGTGTGTCTTAATTAAAGTTTCTATTACTGTGACTAAACACGATGACCAAAAAGCAAGTTGGGGAGGAAAGAGTTTATTTGGCTTACACTTCAGCATTGCTGATCATCACTGTCTTAGTTAGTGTTTTTTTATTGCTGTGAAGAGGCCCCATGACCACAGCAACTCATAAATAAAAATATTTAATTGAGATGGCTCTCTTACAGTTTCAGAGATTCAGTCCATTATCATCAGGATGGGGAGCATGGCAATATGCAGGCAGATGTAGTACTAAAACTGAGAGTCCTACATCTTCACTCAGAGTCAACAGGAAATTGACTGACTGTCATACTGAGTGATGCTTGGATCTCAAAGCCCACACCCATAGTGACACACTTCTTCCAACAAAGCTACACCTCTTAATAGTGCCTCTCCCTTTGGGGGCCATTTTCTTTTAAACCACCTTTCCACTCCATGGCCCCCAACAGCTTATATCCAAATCATAATACAAAAAAAAAATGCATTCAATGCAACTTCAAAAGTCCCCATAGTCTATAACAGTCTCAAACTTATTTCAATGTCCAAAGTTTCTTCTGAGATGCACACCAATCTCTTAACTGTAATCACCTATAAAAATCAAAATCAAAAAGCAGATCACAAACTTCTATCATATAATGTCACAGGATGTACATTACCATTTCAAAACACAGGGAAGGGAGCACAGCAAGTAAATACTGGCCCACAGCAAGACCGAAAACCAGCTAGGCAAACTCCAAACTCTGCATCTCTGAGTCTGATGTTAAAATGATCTTCAGATCTCCAATGCCATTCAGATTTGTTTACTGCAACACACTTCTTTCTCTTGGGCTAGTTCCACTCCCTGTGAGCAGCTGTCCTCTGCAGGTATCCCATGACTCAGACTCTGGCATCTCTAACATCTTGGGTTCTTCAAGACAATCCATGATTTCATGCTTCAGTTTCACAGCTTCACCCTATGGCCTCTCTACTAGGTTTCCATTCAGGGACATCCCTGACACACATTTCTTTAGGTGTGAAGGTAAATTCTATAACCCATTTCTTCTGTCCTTAACTCTAAAGCCACACCACATGGCTGAAGAAGCCAAGTCTGCTGTTTACTGAGACTGGAACATGGCCCTCTTGTTTAATTTCATCTACACCAGTTTTCTGTTTTCATTCACTGCCTAAGCTTGGCTTTCCTTAAACTTGCTTTTTAGACCAGGCTGGCCTCAGACTCACAGATAAGCCAGCCTCTGCCTTCACAGTGCTGGGATTAAGGTATGCACCACCACACCCAGCTCTAAACTATTCTTTAGTTCCTTTTCACAAGTTTGAAATTTAGCTAGGTGGAATCTTGCCCTGAGGTCACTACTCCCTATATTCACTTTCTCAAACCATTTATCTCCTTGAACACAGGATTTAGCTCGATTCCACTTCCTGGTGCTCTTTTTCTCCTCAAAATCAATGTGTTGTAATTTACCCTGTACAGCTTGCTCCTCTTCATTATAAATCTTCATTAGAGTTACCACTAATATCCACATGACAGAGTCTATACTAGGCTGTTTCAGAGATTTCTTCTGCCAAAAAATTTAGTCTGCAACCCTTCACTTTAGCCTCAGGCAGACTCTTTGAACAAGGAAAACATGCACCCACTTTATTCACCAAAATATCACAAGAACAATCTCCCGGCAACATACTAAAATTCTTCTCTGAAACCTCTTGAGCGAGCCCACAGTTCAAATAAATCTTAGTACCACCGTCTTCCATGCTTCTACTAGAATGGCCCATTAAGCAGTACTTAAAGCAGTCCACTGCTTTCATAACCCAAGGTACCAAAGTCCAAATTCCTCTAAACAAAAACATGGTCAGGCCTATCACAGCAATATCCCAATCTCTGGTACCAACTTCTGTCTTAGGTTTTTATTGCTATCAAGAGACACCATAGCCAGGCGGTGGTGGCGCACGCCTTTAATCCCAGCACTCAGGAGGCAGAGCCAGGTGGATCTCTGTGAGTTCGAGGCCAGCCTGGGCTACCAAGTGAGTCCCAGGAAAGGCGCAAAGCTACACAGAGAAACCCTGTCTCGAAAAACCAAAAAAAAAAAAAAAAAAAAAAAGACACACCATGACTACAGCAACTCAAATAAAAACATTTAATTGAGGTAGCTCTCTTAACAGTTTCAGAGATTCAGCCCATTGTCATCAGGATGGGGAGCATATCGGCATGCAGGTAGATGTGGTGCTAGAGCTGAAAAGTCCTACATCTTGACTCAGAGTCAACAGGAAGTTGACTGACTGACTGTCACACTGAGTGAACCTTGAGAAAAGAGACCTCAAAGCTGGCCCCCACCATGACACACCTCCTCCAACAAGGCCACACCTCCTAATAGTGCCACTCCCTTTGGGGGCCATTTTCTTTCAAACCACCACAGTTACTAAAGAAAGTCAGGATAGGAACTCAAACAGGGCAAGATCCTGGAGGCAGGAGCTGATGCAGAGGTCATGGAAGGGTGCTACTTATTGACTTACTTTGCCCTGGCTTGCTCAGCCTGCTTTCTTACAGAATCCAGGACCATCAGCTGAGGGATAGCACCACCAACCATTGGCTGGATCCTCCCCCAGTGATCACTAATTGACAAAAATGCCTAACAGCTGGGTCTCATGGAGGCATTTCCCCAACTGAGGCTCCTTCCTCTCTGATGACTCTAGCTTGTGTCAAGTTGACACACAAAACCAGCCAGTATAGCACATAAAAATATTTTATCAAAGATTGCTCTTATATTTGGTAATTAATAATATTAAGAAATATTAGAATTATTCTTTTAGGAAACAATCTTCAGTTATTGAAACTACATAGTGCCAGAACTTGGGAGGCTGAGGCAGGGGCATAAATTTAGTTCACACATTCAAGACCAGCCTATGTAAAATTGAAACCATAGGGGAGGAAAAAAGCCAAAAGAAAACATTTAAGGATAACATTCAGCACTTACACTTACTGATTTCTTCATGACCCTCAACCCAGTCTGTTTTCTGTTCATAACAACTATCCATCATTTAAATCACTTCTTTAGAGGGCTGTAAATAACAGTTGGGTACCATTGTTATTCTCTTATTCACTAAATTCTTAATTGCATGTATTCCTAGCTGAGAGACTTTTCCTAACTATTGACCTTTACATATTATTTATATATATTTAACATAAAATCTATCACACTTCACAAAAATCTCTAAAATGTATCATTTAAATAATTATCATAAAACAAGCCCACATTTTAAGAAGTTAAGGATCAGAAATTTCTAGTGACTCATAAGCCCATTGTGTCCTTCCTGCTTTTATCCTTCCTTGCAACATTAATCCCTTTTGTGGCTTTCTCATCCCTTAAAATTATTTTATGAAAAAAAAGTATTTTATGCCTAATTTTGAGTAATTCTTGGATTTCTTCCTTTCTTCCTTCCTTCCTTTTCCTCTTTCTTTCTTTTCTTTCTTTCTTCCTTCTTTTCTTTCCTTTTTCCTCTTTCTTTCTTCTTTTTTCTTTCTTTCTTTCTTCTGTCTAAATTATATGTTCGAGAAAGCAAATGATAGAAGTGTCTATACTTAATCTTTATTGTTTTAGAGGATCTCTTTCGTCAACCAGAATGTTATAATTTGAACAATGAACCATTGGGATAATCTCCAGTTTGGAACTGGGACATCAGTGTTATCTATCTTCCTCTATGCATCCTTTGTATATGTTAGCAAGAATATTTAAGTTTATTAACTTTTTGCTATGTAAGATTAAATTAATTTCAATACGACTGAATCTAAACTATTTTCAAAAGTGAATGTACTTGCATCATATGAATTTCTGTATTTCTCTTTCTCACACATTTGAATGATGCTATTTTGTTTTCCTTTTAAAATTGGAATGAGGTCTTACTATATTCCTAGTTTGAGCCTGAATGTTTGGTTCTATATGTTCCAGTAATCTCCCATTTCAGAATACCTGGTACCATGCTAGACTTCCTATGTCTCTTCTTCCTCTTCCTTCTAATCCTCTTGCTGTTTCTCTTATTTCTATTCTTATGATCCTTCTCATTCTAATTTTTTTCTGTTGTAGAATATTAGTTAAAGATGTCTTACGTTTGTTTATGCTGTGCAACATTTATTGAATGGTGCAAAGATGTGTTGCATTCTTTCACGTTGCATTTGTTTATCTCTGTGAAGCTCTGTTACTTTGTCTGTCCAAAATATCTGATTGGTCTAATAAAGAGCTGAATGGCCAATAGCTAGGCAGGAGGTAGGATAGGTGGGACTGACAGGCAGAGAGAATAAATAGGAGGAGAAATCTGGCAAGAGAAGATCAGGGAGTGAGAAAAGGAGGAGAGGAGGACATCAGGGGCTAGCAACCCAGCTACACAGCAAGCCACAGAGTAAGAAGTAAAGAAGGTATATAGACTAGAAAAAGATAAAAGCCCAGAGGCAAAAGATAGACAGAATAATTTAAGAAAAGCTGCCTAGAAACAAGCCAAGCTAAAGCTGGGGATTTATAATAAGAATAAGTATTTATTTGGGAGCTGGATGGGCAGGCCCCCAAAAAGAATAAATAGAAAAAAAAGTACAAGTTTCAGTTATGCTGGCAGCAACGTCCTATTGATCTTAATTTTGTAGTGTTTTAATTGTCAAATTGGGTATATTTTAGAATGCCTAGTGGTAATTTGGACACTAATTCATATGAAATCCTTATTTGGGCCCTGGTTACTGTTTCTAACTTATAGCTTCATTTTTTTAGGACCTGAATTTATACTTATACAGGCTAAAACTGTCATTTTCATCTAATTGCTGTTTTATTTAACTTACAGAAAATTGGTGAATATACTTTCTGTATTTTAAAATGCTCACCTGACTTATTTTGGTTCAGGGATGCCTTCCAGAAGCCCTCCTACCGTGCACTGTGCAGACCCTTCCAGCACCAGAACACAGAACCTATGGACCTGAGGCTGACCCACCACCCACATTATCCTATGGTACCTGGCAGCAAAAATATGCCTATGTGATGAAGAAATCATGATCTAAATATTTGAATGTAGAAACATGTACACTGAAAAATTTCCAATTAAAGTTCATAGTTGTAACCAGAGGTTTCAGTTCTTCTTTTAATTACTGATTTTTAAATAATTTTTACAAGTTCTCTGAGAATTTTGTACAGTGTATTTTGATCATATTCATCACTGACCCAACACCTCCCAAAACCACTCTCCTTTCCTACCCATCCAATTTTCAAAACAACTCTCCTTTCCTACCCATCCAATTTTGCGCTCTCTCTCTCTCTCTCTCTCTCTCTCTCTCTCTCTCTCTCTCTCTCCCCATCAAGTCCAATTTGTGCTGCCCATATACTCTTGGATATGTGGTCTTCTTGGGGCTTGCTGGATTTACTGGTGGTGACTCTCTTAAGAAAAAGCTAACCCTCTGATCCCAGTAGCTTTCAAGTGCCAATAACTCCTCAGCTAGGGGTGGGACTTGATGTCCACACGCCCCAGACTTCGATTGGATTGAATTCTTCTTCATGCTTAATGAGAACACAGCTCTCTCTGGTCATTTACATACTCAATAACTCACAGACACAAATATAAATATTAAAAGTGTCTTACTCAAGAGGATCAGAACTTCTATGTGTTGCCTACTATAAACCCATAAATATTATTGAAATAATCATAGGAGTATGTTTGAGTCTCCTGTTTCATGTATTTTGAAATGTGGGGATACATTTCAGCATATCTGATGTCTGTTTTCCTCTTACTCTCCGCTTATACTGAATATACATGTGTATATATGTATATATATATATATATATATATATATATTTGTAATATAATTTCAAACACTAAAATTGATCAATGTAACATAAGGCACAGTTCACAATGAATGTGGCATCAGTAAGAATCTAAGTAATAAGCTCATCATTCTTGACTATTTTCCCTGCGAAGGAAAATTTTGGTGTTCTCAAATTTAGCAGCACATTTATGAAATATTTTAATGCTTCCCAACTTAGATGGAAAATGTTTATAAAAAAACTACATGACATTACTATTGACAAATCACAGAGCTGACACTTTTCTGATTTACCAATAATGAAAGCCAATTTCAATCATGTTGAAAAATTGAATTATATTCCTATCTATTTGTCAAAAATCACCACAGTTGTTATATAGAAAACATTAAGAAATTTACAGGGAGAAATATTTAGAGAAATAGTGTTTTAGATGTTATGGTCAAAAGGCAAATTTAAAACCTGTTTATCTTTTGTGCTTAGGTTAATTTTCAGCTTTTTAGAACTTCTCATTTATTGTGATTTTTGTTTTTACTATAAATAAATATTGAGTATTTCACCTAATTTGTTACTGATTTTTTTTTTAGTATATCCTTTTCCTTAAAAAATAACCCCCAAAGAAATAAATTCTGGTTCTCTTACAAACCCTGGATTTTTGTCTAGTTCTTCCTGTTGGAAGGATTACTCATCATAATTTTGCTACTAAATGTGCATAAAATGGGCTTTGCTGTGGAAATGTTTTTCACTTCTAGGTTTCCAAAGTTTTACTACTCATATAACTGTTTTGTTCTGTGAAGATTCTTTTTGTAACATTTGACCATTTAAAACATGTTTTAAACACTTTTATTAATCTACGGAAAAATTAAAAATAACATGGTAGTACTTAGTTGACTATGTGTGTTACAAATATCTTCAAATATCCAAATATTTCAAAATATTAAAATATACAACATTACAAACATTTTATCACATTTTTCACTTCATTTCTTTTCATGGTAGTTAGTTATACACCAAATAATGGATTTCATGATAGCGTTTTTGTGCACTTTTTACGCGAGACAAGACAGACAGTACCTGTCTTTCCTGCCACTGCTGTCTCCCTTCTGCCCCTTCAGACCCTTCTTCCCTGCTCTTAGTTCCCCTTCTAGTTTCATGTATTGCACATAACTGTGTCTGTGTTTTGACTCGGGTTCTGTAGCCTTTGTCACTGATCTTTGTCTTTCACTTTGCAGCAGAGACTACTTGTACAGAGTGTGAAAAAAAATTCAGTTTTATCTCTTTTTTTTTCATAAAGAATGACATTTTAAACATTTTTCTTTCCTTATGAGAAATATTATGAGAAATAGCTACCTCTGTCATATGTCCACACGTAGGAATATGCTTTTGGATTTTCTGTTTTAAGTATCACTTTGCTCACCTTTAAAATGGCTGTTTATTAAAGTCCTGTACTGTCTTACTTATTATGGCTTTATAATTATTCTATATAGTTGGTTGAGCAATTCCTTTTTGCTTTCTTTCTATTACTGTTTACTTTTGCATAAAGAATTTTAAAATATCTTGTCATGAATCATGAAAAAACCTATTTTACAGGTGAAATTATAATGGATGTGACTATAATCAGGAAATATTCTACTTTCAAATACATTCTTTGTAGCCACGAGCATGGACCATAATTATGAATACTCATGTAAAGATCAGTCCATAGTTATTATTTTTTCAACTCAATTTCACATTATATATTTGCTCTTGGAATTTAATTGGAAATTAATCCAAACAGCATAATTGTTTATGATAAAGACTTATTAGTGCACTTGAAGTTTGTATTATAGTTATGGTGATTACTTATGGGATATGATGTCTAATATTTTCTTGATATTAAAATTTCTGCCATAGCTTTACAACACCCATGTTACTGAAAAGATCTGTTTAATATAATGTGTGGATTCTGTTCAAGAATTAAGGTAGATGGACTTATTACCTACTTAATTAGAGACTTCATTATTGGATGTTTACAGGAAGTGTACTTGGCTAAAGTCCAAAAGCTGGAGATGTTTTCATGGCATAGCTTATTTGTAAATATTGTACTTAATCAGGATAAAGTTTGAAGTAGTTAAAAATAAAAGGTTACCTTGAATAATAATTAAGACACCAAAGTAATTTTTTTCAGTTTGGGGAATCAAATTCAGGATCTCATACATGCCAGATCAGTGTTCTAACCACTGTGATACATATCCAGCCTAAGTAATTTCAAGTCCTTTATGTAAAGATAACCATTCTAGCACTGTGCCCACCAGTCAGCACACATGTATTGTATGTACATACGTGTATGTGTGTGTGTGTGTGTGTGTGTGTGTGTGTGTGTGTGTGTGTGTATGTGTGGTGTATGCATGTATGTGAATAGGTATGTGTGTACCATCACCTATGTGTACGCATGTGGAGTCCAGCGGTCTACATTGGATATTTACCCCTATAACTTCACAACTCATCTACTGAGATCTCAGGTAAACTTGGACTAGACAGACTCACCTTTGAACTCTCCAGATTTACCTTCATGCCCCACCCCCAGTGCTGAGTAATGCAAACATATTACCATGCCTAACTTTTACATGTGTATTGAAGATATGAACTTAGGTTCATGTGTTTATACAATAGGATTTTACCCTTTGAGCCATCGCTGAAGGCCCACAACATATATTTAATGTAAGAAATTTCCTCCTTATAATGAACTCATGGGAATTTCAAACACACACACAAAAAAATCAATATATATCTAAAAGACAGCTTAGGTTATGTGGACACTGTACTCAACCACTATATCATTCCATTGATTTTCATGTCACTGTATATGTCTCTAAGTTTAAAAATTGTTATCTTCACTTATTTAGAGCCCAATTAAGATATAACAGATATGCCATAACAATATTTGAGGTGACTATTTTACAACGAGGTGCACACACATATGTAATACATTATTATATAAACACTCATGAATACTTAGTGTAGATTATTAGCACTTCATCTAAATAACCTGTTATTATGGATCTCACTCTCATATGCTTTTAGCTGTACAGACATAAAGTACATTACACTTTAGAATATAAACTCTTTAGGTTGTCTGAAATAGAAATTCACTCAGCTCAAGCAAAAAGGTAATTTATTAGGGTAGCAACATTCCTAAGCCTGGGGAACTGAATTGGAATGCACCATACTGAAGGACTCAGTAGACTACTCTCTTGGGGCCCCAAGTTCACTTTTCTCCATCTGACATGAGTTCCTTTTCTCCTTCATTGCAGAACAGTTTTTCTTTTTCTCAGGTAGAAAATTACCACACATGCTCTGCAATTGATGTAAAGTTATGAGGTAAATGAGGAATACTGAATTAGCATGACTAGGTCTCAAGTTCCTAATATTTGATAAAGTTGGTTGATCCAGGCTCCTACTTGCAGTGTGAATGATGGTCAGCTTTGAATGTGGTGGCTGGTACACTGCCAGTGTTGATGGGCAAGAGGAGAATGTTTTTAGAAAAGAGAGGCCGTGAGACAATTTACCAAGTATGAGCTGGACTGGCAGCTGCTGCGTGTTTTAAATTCTTGCCATCCAAACTTTGATCAATGGAACAAAACATGTGTTACCAAAAAGCCCACAAGAAACTTAGAACCTCAGACTAAGTCCTTCTGAATCAGGTCTGTATTTATTCTCAGGTGATTTGTATTCACATCAAACCTTAAAAATATGGTGATTCTCATCTGTTTAAGAGCTATGACCCTGTGAATAGTACATTTTGCTTCCAACTAGAATGAACGTTTTTTTTTAAATAACTTTCTGACTTGATCTTTTACATCCTGACAGAATGCCTGTCAGGTGTCTTAAGAATCTATTTTACAGAATGATATATATTCATGGCAAACAATGAACAAATTCTCATACTCTACAGTCATATTATACAGCTTCATTACTGAGCCCATGTTGATTTTCATGCAATGTTTATTTTATTACAACAATCACTAAAATTCTGCCTCTAAGAATATGAAGTCATTGTGGGTGGTGGTGCTACATGCCTTTAATCCCAACACTCAGCAGGCAGATGCAGGCAGATCTCTGTGTGTTTGAAGCCAGGCTGGTCTACTGGTCTACGGAGTGAGTTCCAGGACAGCCAGTGCTACACAGTGAAACCCTGCCTTGAACCCTACCCCGCCACAGGAATAGGAAGTCATCAAACAGGAATGTGGTATTGTTTATCCTTCAACATCATTCTGAAGACATTTTGAAAAATACATAGGGAAACCTATTACTATCAAAGCTACTTCATACATACTTATACACATATATCATTCTATAAAGGTACTGTGATAATAGGCAATATAAAAATAGAAAATCAATAAAAATAATTTTCTTTCATTTCATGTATATTGTTTATTCAACCAATGATAAAAATGTGGGCACATAGATACATATTTAGTTTTCTTGACCTACGTGAAAATTAAGGATGTCTGTTGTTTCTTTTGGGCTAAGAACATACTAAAAAATTTAGGTAAGATGCTGTGAACAAGGAATGTTTAGGAAACTCTCTTTTCCTAATTCACAAATAAATAAAAATTGAGGATACAAGAACACAGGGTATACAAGATCAGAGATGGATCTGGATCTTCATGTTCTGATTTCATTCTAGTAGACTAGTTTCTATCCTGAAATAACTGTTTTGTTTCTGTCTATACATAAAAGTATCTTGTTTTGAGTTTTTATGCTGTCCATAATTCAGTAATATGACATGCTTGCTTTTACAATTTCCATTACTGTTTCCAAAGACTAATAAATACATTTTGTAACTGGTATTTATATTAAAAAAAAAAAAAAAGAATCTATTTTACACCAGGTGTTGGTGGCCCACACCTTTAATTCCAGCATTCAGGAGGCAGAGGCAGGCAGATCTCTGAGTTCAAGGCCAGCCTGGTCTACAGAACAAGTTCTAGGACAGCCAGAGCAACACTGAGAAACCCTGTCTCAAAACAAACAAACAAACAAGGAAACAAAAAAATGTATTTTACAACTTTTCAATAAAAATGGAATCTTGAAAATGAGTGTTCTTTAGTGGAAAAGAAAATAATTCAGCATAAAAAATCCTGAAGATTGTTTCAATCACTTCAACTTTATGTGCAAATGTTAACATGTGTCCTCTGATAATATATTTATAACATCTCTGATTTTTTTTTTTTTGAGACAGGGTTTCTCTGTGTAGCTTTGCGCCTTTCCTGGGACTCACTTGGTAGCCCAGGCTGGCCTCGAACTCACAGAGATCTGCCTGGCTCTGCCTCCCGAGTGCTGGGATTAAAGGCGTGTGCCACCACTGCCCGGCGACATCTTTGAATTTTATTACTATGACATTTGAATTAATTACCAACAATAATAGCTATATGGATGACTATGATTGAATCAAGTAATGTAGGTAGCTTTGATGACAATATTTAAAATAAGGGACTCCTTGACTCTCAGGCACAAGGTACTTTTAATTTCTCATGTGATAACATCTTAGTTAAGTATTATGGGTGATTATTACCTGACAGAATCTTTTCTAATCCTTATATACAGATTTTATGATTTGTGTTTTGTCCTAAGCATATTATACTCTACCATAACTAAAATTTTACAGGTTGAGTTGTTTTCAATCAGGTTACTTTATTATTGTTTGTTTTAACCATTGTGATATATATTTTGGTGCTAAAATTTGGGATATAGAATGGTGCTAAATTGGATTCAAATTTGAGTGCAATCTGTTACTAGTTACATAAGCTTGAGATACATATGTAAAATTTGTAAGGCTCAATTTCTTGTCTACACAAAGAAATGCTAATAATTAATTAATTACATTCTATATAGAATAGTGATGGTTAAGACAGACAGCATATAGATCCTAGGGTAGGAAAACCATCAAAGGGGTTAGGTTTTAAATCTGTTCACTTGAGCCGGGCGGTGGTGGCGCACGCCTTTAATCCCAGCAATCGGGAGGCAGAGCCAGGTGGATCTCTGTGAGTTCGAGGCCAGCCTGGTCTCCAAAGCGAGTTCCAGGAAAGGCGCAAAGCTACACAGAGAAACCCTGTCTGGAAAAACCAAAAAAAAAAAAAAAAAAAAAAAAAAAAAAAAAAAAAAAAATCTGTTCACTTGGGGAAGTGTTCATTTTTTTAAATTTTATTTGGTGTATGATAGTGTTTTCTCATGTTGTTTTGGAAACAGTTTTACTTTATGAACTACTTGATAAAAAAAGTTTTTATTTTCATTTTTGTAGATTCAGGCTGCTTCTCACTGAGTCATCGTTTTACATTGGATCTTTGTTGCTATTTTGCTTCTCCTTAAATAGCAACTTGAAAAGTGTCTGTGCTGGCTCATTTGTTTCCTAAAACCATTTGAAATTTTTTTCCATGATCCTGTGGGTTGACTTCATCTAATCTTATGACTTTATTCTTACACAGTATCACAAACAGGTAAGCAGATCAAAGTCAGCATGGAAAACCATGTTGGTTATGTTTACGAGTATTTTGCTGAACTGCCTTCCTTAAAAAGAATTCTAGATTCTTGATTCAGCATTAGAATTCCCATAGATAACCCACGCAACAGTTTGGAGGCCAGATGCTCTAGCTTAGAATGTTTCGTGGTAAATTTATGCTTTCTTATAATCATAAAGATGGTTTTTGATCTCATAAAAGTTGGTTCCAAAGAACTTTTTGAATATTCTTTAATATGGTCATACTATATGCAGTTCTTTGAAATAATGTAATGTTATTCTGATTTAATATTTTGGGTTTCTTTTTATTACCTACCATGTATTTCCTATGATGAAAATCCAGTACTGTACAGCTCCCATAAAGCACATTGAATTCTTTTCTTTTGGAGATTTTTCAGGCTATAAATAAATTTAGTCTTCTTTTGTCAAGTTTAGAACAAAATGAAAGTAGCTACTGAGAATAGTCAAAAAGAATAGTCAAACAATAGTCACAAATGTTTCTCTTGCTAGTGGTTTAAGTGAAAACATAAGACTAGGAATGCTTTCTTAATAATCTGTCTCATGTTTCACTAACTCACCCCATAAGTGGGATACCTCAACAATTCCAGAGAGAACACAGCAGAGTTCTTCTCCAGTCTCCCACC